GACTACCTGGGTGAGGGCGGGGCCTGGAGGCTACCTGGGCGAGGGCGGGGCCTGGGGGCTACCTGGAAGAGGGCGGGGCCTGGAGATTATCTGGGAAGGACGGGGCCTGGAGATCACCTGGGTGAGGGTGATGCCCAGACGGGGACACCGAGGCTGCGCATTGGGCTGTACTTGAGGTTTCCAAATGGGGGCGAGACGTGGTCGGTCACATGGGCCGAGGGGCGGGCCCTGGTTAGGGACCCTGAGGCTGAGAATTACCGCCTCCTGGATAGGGACAGGGCCTATCAGGTACACCAGGCAGAGCAGCCGCCCACAGGAAGGCGGGGCCTCTCCATTAATAATAGTGGTGCAGTAGCTTACGCCTGTAATCCCAGGAGGCCAAGGCGGGCGGATTACCTGAGGTCTGGAGTTCGAGACCAGCCTGGCCAACATGGCAAAACCCTGTCTCTACTAAAAATACAAAAATTAGCTGGGCGTGGTGGCGGACGCCTGTAGTCCCACGTACTCAGAAGTCTGAGGCACAAGAATCTCTTGAACCTAGGAGGTGGAGGTTGCAATGAGCTAAGATTGTGCCACTGCACTCCAGCATGGGTTATAGACCGAGACTCTGTCTCAAAAATAAATCAATAAACAAAAATAATAATAGTGGTGGGCAATCCTCTCACGCCTCTTCTCGGTCCCCCTAGGATGTGTGTGTGAGCGTGGGTAGTAGATGTGTGCGAACGAGTGTTTTGAGCAAAGCTGCATACGTGACAGTGTGTGCATCACTTCTGTTGATGGGGATGTGTGTGACTGGCAAAGGGAGAGTGTTCGGTGGTGCAGATCTTTAATATAGTGAGGAAGACAGTCTCTCCTATTTTACCCCCCTCCCCAGGCCACTTTGAAGGCCTGACTGGGAAGGTGCCGGGGCCAAAAGAGAGGCCAGGTGGGAGCACACGGTGTGTTCACAGCCATCCCACCCTGGCCCCAGGTTATGCTGTGGCCGTGCTGCACAAGACCTGCAGCGTCTCCTACGTCGCGGGGGCTCCACGGTACAAACATCATGGGGCCGTGTTTGAGCTCCAGAAGGAGGGCACAGAGACCAGCTTCCTGCCAGTGCTAGAGGGAGAGCAGGTACCCACTGGGGAAAGCTCCCACCCCTTTTGACGGATGGGGAATCGGAAGGCCCCAAGGGACAGGGGTGGGTCCCAGGGTGCACAGTGGGCCAGGGCCCAGGCCGGGTAAAACTCAGGCTCCTGAGTGGAGCTCAAGGGCTCTGCATGTCTGATTGCTACACAGTTTCCTCCGCTGTGGGGCCTGGGCTGCTCCTCCGCTCTCCTGTTACTCTCGGTGAGCAAACTGATATGTAAGGACCCAAACCGGGTGGTCCAGGAAGCACGTGGGCACGGTGTAGCCTTGCTGAGGGGTGGAGGAGTGGGGCTCCTGGTGAGCTGAGTTCCTCCCGGGCTGTAGATGGGGTCCTATTTTGGCTCTGAGCTGTGCCCTGTGGACATTGACATGGATGGAACCACGGACTTCCTGCTGGTGGCTGCTCCATTTTACCACGTTCATGGAGAAGAAGGCAGAGTCTACGTGTACCGTCTCAGTGAGCAGGTGGGAGAGTCTCCATCTTCATGAGCTTGATGAGGCTGTGGCACTCAGCCTGGCACAGAGGTGATGGAGGCTGGGAGTGCCCTGGCTCTGCCTGGCACCAGTGGGCAGTGATGGGGAGGTGCTCAGGCTGCATGGCGGCTGGGCAGGGCAGCGGCATCTCTCTCCGCACCCACTTTCTTACCCAAGGGCAGTCGTTGATGATATCATCTCTAATATCTCTTTTCATTGTTGTTGTTGTTTTTGAGACAGAGTTTCGCTCTTGTTGCCCGGGCTGGAGTGCAATGGCGTGATCTCGGCTCACCGCAACCTCTGCCTCTGGGGTTCAAGCGATTCTCCTGCCTCAGCCTCCCGAGTAGCTGGGATGACAGGCATGCACCACCACGCCTGGCTGGCTAATTTTGTATTTTTAGTAGAGACGGGGTTTCTCCATGTTGGTCAGGCTGGTCTTGAACTCTCGACCTCAGGTGATCCACCCGCCTCAG